GCTGGGAAGGGAAAAGGATCCCTGAGCCCACAGAGCTGAGGACAGTAGGGAGCAGACCCTCTGCGGAGCCTGGGGATCCATGCCCATCCCAGAGTCCCTGTCCTCAAGAGTCCAAGCCCCGGGCTGGGCATGGCCAAGGAATCTCCATCTTCACCAGTGCCCAAGGAGATGCCCTGAGCCGGGGGCCCCTCATCCAACTCCTTTAGACAAATGGAAAAAACAAAATGACACTTTTCTCTCAACCGAATTGGACTCAGGTCAACCCCATCGGTGATAGAGGACTGTCCTCCCTAGATTGTTGGGCTGTATTCTTTATGGAAGCGGAAAGCCAGGTATTTCTTCTGTGGAGCTGGTGGGTGGATTCAGTGCGTGCACAGGGTTTGTGCAGTCCCCGGACCCAGGCATTCTCCTTTGTTGGATTGAGGAATCAAGGCTCAGAGATAAGTCGTTTCATAGAAGCGCACAGCTGGGTAGCTCCAAGGATGGAGCCAGAACCAGTTCTGACCCTCCCAGACCACTGGCCCCGCTGGACTATCCGGCGCCTGCCTGCTTGGCAAATTTCACACTCTCAGGGAGAAAACATCAAAGGAGCCGACATGCCTATCGGGTGATGATGGAGTCTTGGACCCTTTTATATCCATTCATCCTGGTTCCACTCAACACCTATTCACCCAAGGCCAGAAAGACTCCAGATGTCCAGGACAGAGGCTAGCCAAGGAGAGTCAGCACTCTCTGCCAGGTGCAATTTACCTGTGATGAGTGCCAGGAGAGGGAGCCGCAGGATGGTGAGCGTCCTTTCAGGGGACCTCATCTAAAGAGCCCGGTGACATGTTGGACCGCTAACCCCAAGATCAGCAGCTTGACCTCATCAGCTGTTCTGCAGGGAAGGACTCTCCTAACGAGTGACGGTCTCAGAAACCCACGGGGCCATTCCACCCTGTCTGACAGGGTCGCCGTGAGTTGGCATCGACTCAAAGGCAGTGAGTTGGAGATCACCTAGACACGTCTGCATTAGGAGTCCTGTCACATCAGCAAGTGAAGGTCGCCAAGACGTTCTCCACCCACATTCAGACATCACACGTGGATGGATGGGTGGATTGTGGTAAAAGCTGTACGGGTCCCCAATAAAATGATTTTTTAAAAATGAGGAGCTGATGCCAGGGGCTCAAGTAGAAAGAAAATATTTTGAAAAAGATGATAACAACCTATGTACAGATGTGCTTGACACAATGGATCTATGTATGGATTGTGATAAGAGCTGTAAGAGCCCCCAATAAAATATAAATAAATCAGTATTAATGAAAAAATAATAAGAATAAAAAGAAAGACATCATGCTTGGTAAAGTGAAAGGTCAGCAAAAAAAGAGGAAGACGCGTGGTGAGCGAGGATGGATGTGGTGGCCGGAGCATCGGGCTCAGACCTAACAACCCTTGAGAGGGTGGCTCAGTGCCGGGTCATGGCTTGTTCTATGACACACAGAGTTGCTGTGAGTCAGACATTGTTATGATTCAAAACCCAACAACAATATTGACGACAGCCTGGGCATGACGCTTCAGTCCAAACCAGCAAGCCGAGGCAGACGCTGAACCACGTGGTATTTATCATGGCATGGTAATCAATTACCTCATTGCGGGGGTGCTTCATTTTTCATGCTATAGTCAGATGGCTATGCTCTACTGTGTCCCTTTTAGAGATGGAAAAACCAAGGCACAGAGAGCCTGAACCACGTGGCAGGGCTGGTCTCATTACCTGGTGCGGCAAAGAGAGCTTCCGCCTTTTCCTTCTTCGTTTCACCACTTCCAGACACTGAAATACAAGTTTCCGTGAGAGAAACAGCCCTGGAAACACAGCTTCTGAGCATTTACTATTACCTTAAATTTCTGGTCTGGGATCCCTTTGGAAGTCTAAGGAAAGTGAGCTCCAGGGAAACCCTTTTCCAAATAAATCATTAAACAGATCATATGAAACCATCGCTCTAGCTTGGGACGAGAAGATGACAGTAGGGTGTCTGTAAAGTAGATGATACCTGGTACTTCCCCCTCCTGGTTCAGGCTTAGGAAGCCATCCTCTCGGCGCCCTGGAAACAGAGATCGCAGTTCCCATTTGAAGAGGAGACAGTGAGAGGCTCAGGTGGCAGAAATGGGGATTTAAAATGACTTTGCATGTACATGGAAGGATTGGCGGGTATGGCCAGTGACCCCTGGGCAGGGAAATGGTTGGCTGGGGATGATGGGGAGCGTTTGAGTTGAATGAACTTGTTTTGACCGCTTGCATTTTGAACCCTGCAAATGTGCGGAGTATTTAAAAATAAAGTTGAAAGAATAAAGAATCTGAGAGTCCCGCCAACCAGCCAGTCAGATTCCACTGAAATGCATACAGACTCAAAGTGATTGGTTAGTCTAGGTTATTGGGGTGGTGGGAGAGGCGGCACTAAGGCAGCTCAATGCTTAGGGGGATACCGAGCTTCTGCTCAGGCTGGTGGATAACCGGGACGGTGATAG